TGAGATTGGGCGCTGGATCAACCCAATCTTGTAGTAGCATCTTACAATATGAAAATGCAAAACGCATACCGAACATGGCAACACTAGCACTCAAACTATCCGGAAAAGCTTGCAACTTACCTGGAATCCATAAAATATCGATGGTGCCCAATCCACAATAACACTGGTGCATTTTCAGTATAATTTATTTGGTACGCTTTCTGGACACGCCTGTGATACATATTTTTCACCGCGATGGCCAAATATTTGTATCAACTTTAGCTAGGATATTTGTGACTACATTTCTGGGGATGCGATGATTTTATGGTAGAGTTCTTGCCCAAACAGAAAGAAACAATACGCAAAGGCTTTTTAGTGCCACAGTCCTTGACCAAAAGCTTAGATAAATCGTTTGCATAGGGAAATAATGCTGGTAGCCAGAAACGGAGATATATTACAAAGAATGATTATATATATATGATTGAAGACCTAGTGGTTGATCTCTGAAGCCCATCAAGCCCCAAGGTCAACGGTGACCGTTATTATCAGTATGCACTGGCACTATGTGATACGCATGTTCCTCAGTGCACCTAAATACTTCGTTCATTAAGCAAAAAACTCAGGAACACTGGAAAAATTTCAATGACCAAGTTCGAGGTAGCAAATCGTTTGGTCAATTCATTAGTGGTGCTTCTCCATCATTCCATGTTTTGTATTGAATCGGAAATTACGTGGGGTTATCAACAAAAAATTGTCTTCAAAAGTAGAAAACTTACAGTGGATGCAAAATAAAGCAATACGAAGTTGCGTTACTATCCCCGATGCCTTGGACCACGCCCGCATTCGAAACCATCTCTCTAAATCTGATTATTACTCTCATCTTTGGGTTATTGCATCATCTTGATTTTATTTTGTTTCGCTTGGTCTTTTATCTCCAGGTGCACTTCCTGGCATCGACTGTATAGTGAAGTAACTTCTAATTGCGGTTCCCGGAATGATACTTGTTTCATTCCGTAGAAGTCCCTTGCAATTCATATTTTGGTGAGATCATTTTTGGATATGCGGTACGGCCGGCACGCAAAAACCACATCGACTGAGGTGATTCGATAACTGTCTTGATATATGGCGCGCAAAGACAATATAGCTTGTTGATACTGGAGCTAATCGCTCAGCTATAGCATAACCGCACCGTTCAAGGTTAAGGTGCGGGAATACTTCATGGAAGACAATTTTGCCACAAAATGTTTTATCTTAATGGTATCAATCCACCGACCTCACACCTGGATTTTTCCTTTTTAGACTGAAAAACTACGGCAAACAAACTGATAATGAAATAATAACGTTTACAATGAGAATACTGTAATTCAGTCGTCATTCACCTCTCAGAGGATACAAAATTATGCGAAATTGAGACATTATTAGCAGGGTGATGCAATGACTTACACCGCTGGTAAATCGCCATTGAATGGTACGTTTACGACCACAAACCATCATTCTCCATCTACTGCAACCAGAGGTCAGAAAAAAATCAGTTCCACCAGGGAACGAGTCAATCGACTAAACGATACCCATCTAATCACCTGTTCCACTATTTCTTTGAGTGTTGCTATATATTCTATACCCTGGAAACGTGATGGTTGTCTTTCTGCGTCATCACCTATCAAAACTTTGTGATGAAAACCACCGACCGTTCGTAAAATGCGTAAGTTAGGTAAACGCTTCTCAGTTTATCCATTGGAGTTAATCTGACCTAGTACTTCGGGTAGCGTCAGCTATCACCGATGAAAAAAATATGATGAACCCAAAGACTTGCTGCACGTGGTTACACAGAGGCATCAAAAACCTCAGCATGTTAGGTTGTCGGTGTCCCGGGTTGGGGATGGTCACGCGTCCGTTGCACCTCGTAAAATGCTCAAATACAGCCAAGTGTCTGAAATAGCCTTGCTGGGGAGGTGCTACTCATTGCCTTCCCGTGGAGGCGTTTCCCCACCGAACTGAAAGGACGAAATGCCAACATCTGAGGCTATAAGTGGGTCGGTGAACCACTGGTAATTCACCTCGAGGATTTGTCTAACAACCCTCATTTCAAACAAACCACCTTCCTGGTAATGGCAGCGGTCACCGACTTGACTGAGTATCGGCGCGTATTGGA